ATAAATAAATCTATACACAAATTATACCCAAATGTAAGATAAATCATAAATCGGCTTTTCACTATTAGTATATTTATATTTTTTTTTATAAAAAAAACTAAGGATAAAAAAAAAAGAATAAATTTGTAGATGCGTGTGTATTTTTTCAAATAAATGGAGGTCATTTTCTAACGAAAAACAAAATATTTAGAGCCTGCTTTTTTTGTCATGGCATGTTGGGTTTGGTTCCTCATTTAGGCGTAGTATAATCAGTAGCAAGCTCCATGCCCGATTACAGAAAGAGTTCAACCCGAATTCCTTTGTCAACTGGAGTTTCACTTGCACACAAGGAAAAACAGTTGCCCAGGTCTTTTTTGTTTCCACCTTCATCTTTCACTTGTGGTGTGCAAAGAGACTTTGATCGGGTTCGCACGACTTGGATCTACTCCCTGACCTGTTCGAAGACCTGTCAAAATGGGCCAGGAGGTGTTCCCGACGTTAGCACTCCGACGATCAAGTCCGTTCACAGATTAAAAAGACGATGAATAGTGTATTTAAAACTCTGTAAGCATATAGAATGTGTAGAGTTTTGATTGTCATACCTCACCCTTTTATATTGGGGTAGTATCTGGTTGCTCAAGTCTGTCCAGATGGGTTACCCGAACTGCCCATTCTTATTGTCCAAGTTCCCGAACTACCTTAGGCCATGTGTCTCAATCCATGTGTGTTTCTTATCCTGATAATAATCTTTCTTATCTCTCAGTTTGCTCTATTAGACAATGTACGACCAACTTGGCTGGCATCGAGCTATATTGTCTCCTCCATGTGTTTGTGTACTGTCCTTTAGGTCAATCCACCAACCTGTATACTTCTAGGTCGAGTTTCTATCAGGACATCTGAGGGTCCTCGCTGGACATGTTGACGTGTTTCTTATCCGGTGGAGTCAACATCGACCTAATGTTTTAGCGAGCTTTGTGGTTTATGTCTTCTGATCGGCCTGCCAGTTCACCTGGTTTAGCTAGACTGCTTTTTGTGTCTAGTCAACTCGGTATGGTATCACATATCACCTGGACGACACCACTCTGGTCGGATTAGGATAACTCGATTCAAGAGTAACTGAGGTCTCTTTGTCCCACTTACTGAGCTCGTAATTGACCTAATCTACCTCTTCACTCGCCGTTTTTATTTAATCGAGACATTCTTATCGACCTAAAGTTGTCATTCTCGAGTTATACATTTAAATTTCAAATCTCTTACACTGTCAGGTCAAGATCCGTCCAAAGGTCCTTTCTGCGTAACCGCTTCATCATCCGTGTGGTGCACCCAATAAATGTTGCATTAATGTCGACCATAAGATTTCTTTTAATCCAACGGTTATATACGTGTTTTATTTTCAAATTACCTTTCTTCAGCTTGCTCATCATGTAGACCTCGATCCAACGGTCTAGTTTCAACCACACTTTACATCTGGCCTATTCAATCTTGTCCATCCATTTCGAGCCCAATCCGACGATTAGGGTCTGTTGAGCTCTTGCCCTTCCTTCTTCCTTCACCAATAAATAATGTCATTGGCCACATTTTCCAATTTTTCCACTTCGTGCGAATCTCTCTGCAATGTTTCCTCTCGAGTTTTTTGCAAAAAACCCAAGTCTCCGCTGCTCTATGTCGTCATCAACCACTGCTACTTACTGTTTTTACCACCCAATTCTAAGCTTTTGCCATGTTGATGAGTAAGTATTCTTCTTTCAGTTGTTCTCGTCAACTTGCATTGGTTTTCTTTTCGATTTTCTTCTTTCCCCCACCTGCTTTTGATTTTTTTCTTCGATTTACCCTCTTCAAACCTAATTTTTTTTCTTTTCCCTTTCTTTTTTAGATTCTCGCGCCACCAGTGACTTACACTGTTCTTCCGTAATTCGGGATATAAGCTCTCCATCAATCTCGCGACCTTTTCTCCCTCATTATATACCTCTTCTTTTGTAGAGCTTATTCCTTAACCCGTTCTCTTATCTTTTGGACTTGTTTTGCCTTCTTCGACTGCCCATTCTTCCTCTAGACCTCTTATTTCTTTCTCTCGACTTCTCTGATGCGTGGGTATGTTCGACGGAAAGGAGTATACACGAGCGAGATAGCTTTCTTCCGCGGTTGGGACAAATCAACAAACACCTTGTGGGCAGAATTTAACTATAGAAGCTTGTGACAAACTTGAAAGAAGCTATGCCCAATTTCAACACCTCAATTGGTTGTTTGAACAAGTAACTGATTATCTGATCTTAAGGCCCAGTAGATGACTGGATTTAAAGATCTAGACTGAAAAAATATTTGTAACCTCGCGTTTGCCTTTGGAGTGATTTCTGCCGGAGGATGGAGATTTGGCAGGAGATGAAGGAACGCCGGAGGTCGGGGCTGTGGACGGAGTGGTGGCTGGCCGTAGTTATGGTGGTCAGACGAGGATGATGGGTGTGAGGGTTTTTTATTATTTTTTTTTCTTTTTTTTTTTTTCTGAAATCGCGAGAGAGATTGCTGATGGCGTAAAAAAAAACTAAAGGTCTGCGCGACATATTAATATAAGCTGGGCGCCACGGCGCGACATCTGCTGCGGCGCGAAGGATTGGTCTGCCGCGGCGCGAGACATGCTGCGGCGCGGCGCGAATGGCCTCTGTTCGCCTCGTGACAGCGTCGCGGCGCGGAGCCTTCGGGACGGTCTTTCTGTCGCGGCGCGAATCTTGCCGCGGCGCGATACCTGGGAGCTGCACAAATATCTCCCGATTTTTTTTGAGTATATAAAAATACAAATAGTACAAATAATTGCTCGGTTTAAAGCCGGGAGCTCGGCCAATTACTCGATCAAGGATACGGGGGTTCGTCGAGACTAAGGGTCTCGACATGGTGCTTCCCAACTTCTCCGTCAAAGTAAGGTTTGACTCTTTGCCCGTTCACGACAAACAACTCGCCATTAGCCGGATTACGTAAGCGGACGGCTCCAAGTGATAGAACTTCATTGATAATATAAGGTCCGCTCCAACGGGACTTAAGCTTTCCCGGAAAAAGACGAAGGCGAGAATTGAACAAGAGTACCTTCATGCCGGGCACTAGATTCTTCCGGACAATCGTAGCATCATGAAGCCTCTTTGTCTTTTCCTTGTAGATTTTGGAATTCTCGTAGGCTTCGTTCCTCAATTCCTCAAGCTCCGAAAGTTGCAAAAGCCTTTCTTTCCCGGAGGCATCAAGATCAAAATTCATCTTCTTAATAGCCCAAAATGCCTTGTGCTCGATCTCAACCGGCAAATGGCATGATTTCCCGTAGACGAGCCGGAACGGGCTCATCCCCAATACTCCCTTGTGCGCTGTCCTTTGGGCCCAGATTGCATCATCGAGACGGCTCGACCAATCTTTTCGAGACGAGTTCACCGTCTTCTCAAGAATGGTTTTGATTTGTTTGTTGCTCGTCTCAGCTTGCCCCGAGGTCTGTGGGTGGTATGGGGTGGCTACCTTGTGTGAGATTCCGTACTTCTTCATCAGCTTTTCGAAGAGTCGGTTGCAAAAGTGCTTGCCCCCGTCACTTATAATGGCCCGTGGGAATCCAAACCTGCTCAAAATATTACTCTGCAAAAACTTGATGACCACATTAGCATCACATGTCCGTATGGGGATAGCCTCAACCCACTTGGACACGTAATCTACAGCAAGAAGAATATACTCAAAGCCAAAAGATTTGGAAAACGGTCCCAGGAAATCAATTCCCCACACATCAAAGATTTCAACTTGTAAATTGCTCACAAGGGGCATCTCATTTCTTGGGCCAATATTCCCAATTCTTTGACAACGGTCACAAGATTTGCAAAAATTATGAGCATCTTTAAAAAGAGTTGGCCAGAATAAACCTAATTGGAGAACTTTAAAGGCGGTCTTACGTCCTCCAAAATGTCATCCACAGTTAACCTCGTGGCAAAAGGTGAGGACATCCACTTGCTCTTCTTCGGGAACACACCTCTGAAGAATCTCATCCTTTCCCACCTTGAAGAGGAGTGGGTCATCCCAAAAGTAACTCCTACACATCAACACAAAACGTTTCCTCTCTTGGGAAGAGAGGTTAGCCAACAAGACACCATCTGACAAGTAATTGACAATATCAGCATACCAAGGGACATTAGTCACTTCACTCGCATGCTCATATGGAAAGTCATCATTTATACCAACATGCTCATGCATTGCAAGTGAAGGTTCAGAAGGAACAATACGAGACAAATGATCAGCAACAACATTTTCATACCCTTTTCTATCTCTAATCTCTACATCAAACTCTTGCAAAAGAAGAATCCACCGAATAAGCCTAGGTTTCGATTGAGTTTTACTCAAAAGATTCCTAAGGGCTGCATGGTCTGAATGCACAATTACTTTAGATCCCAAGATATAAGACCTAAATTTTTCAAGAGAAAACACAACAGCCAAAAGTTCTTTCTCAGTGGTAGTATAATTCAACTGGGCACCATTGAGAGTCAAACTAGCATAATAAATCACACGAAGCAATTTATCAACTCGTTGGCCCAAAACGGCCCCCACAGCAAGATTCAATGCATCACACATAATCTCAAATGGTAAAGACCAATAAGGTGCAATCACAATAAGAGCAGTCACAAGCTTATTCTTCAATTTATCAAAAGCCTCAGCACATGCATTATCAAACACAAATGGCACATCATTAGCAAGCAAGTGACACAAAGGCTGGCTGATTTTCAAAAAATCTTTAATAAATCTCCTATAAAATCCAGCATGACCCAAAAAACTTCTAACTCCCTTAACATTCACAGGAGGGGGGAGTTTTTCAATCACATCAATTTTTGCTTTATCAACTTCAATTCCACGACTAGATATCACATGTCCCAACACAACTCCGCTCGTCACCATGAAGTGACTTTTCTCCCAACTCAAAGTCAAATTACATTCAATGCATCTCTCAAGGAAACGAGATAAGTTATGGAGACAATCAGAAAATTAAGTACCAAAAAATATAGAGAAGTCATCCATAAATACATGTAAGCAATCCTCGAGCATGTTGGAGAATATGGAGAACATTCACCATTGGAAGGTCCCGGGAGCATTGCACAGGCCAAAGGGCATACGTCTGAAGGCAAAGGTGCCGAATGGGCACGTGAAAGTTGTCTTGGGCTGATCCTCCGGAGCTATGGCCACTTGGTAGTAGCCCGAGAGACCGTCGAGGAAACAATAGAATTGGTGGCCTGAGAGACGGTCGAGAATCTGATCAATGAACGGCAACGAAAAGTGGTCCTTCTTTGTTACGACGTTGATTCGCCGGTAATCAATGCACATTCTCCACCCGGTAGTGATACGGGTGGGGACCATCTCTTTCTTTTCGTTCTCGATGACGGTGATGCCCCCTTTCTTAGGCACCACATGGATCGGGCTGACCCACTCACTGTCAGCTACTGGATAAATTAGCCCCTCTGCATAAAGTGTAAGTACCTCCTTCTTCACAACCTCCATCATGTTCGGGTTCAGCCGCCGTTGGCTATCCTGAAATGGTTTGGCACCCTCTTCTAGAATGATCCGGTGCATACATGTGGAAGGGCTGATACCCTTAATGTCACCTAGGCTACAACCGATGGCCTTTTGGTTCTTATTAAGCACCTCTATCAGCTTCTTCTCTTCGTCCCGATCAAGCTCGACAAAGATGATAACCGGCTTTTGCTTCTCATCATCGAGGAAGACGTACTTGAGGTGACAAGGCAACTCTTTCAACTCTAGCGTTGGTGGGGCCTTCGGTCTCGGTCCCTCGACCTCCATCAGCTCAATAAACGGTCCTTCTTCCTCTTCGAGATCGGGCAGTGACCTCTCTTCCAAGTCTCGTATGGCCATCTCCTCGACAAAAGGATCAGTCACATCAACGATCGAACACTCCTCTACAAAGTTCACCAAGGATGCTGAGGTAGCCTCTCGGACGGAAATGGACACTGACTCTCCTAGGACTGTCATGTTCAATGTCCCATTCTTCACGTCAATGAGCGTGTTGGTGGTGGCCATGAATGGTCTGCCAAGAAGGATGGTGTGGTCTTTCTCGTTTTCGTGCACATCCCCCACATCCAAAACGACAAAGTCTACCGGGACAATGAGCCTCCCGACACGAACAAGGACATCCTCAACTACCCCCTTGGGGTATCTGATCGAACGGTCAGCCAGCTGGAGGCACATACGGGTTGGTCTCAAATCACCGAGACCCAATCGCTGAAAGATCGAGAACGGCATAAGGTTGATTCCCGCTCCGAGGTCAAGCATCCCCGAAGCCTCCTTTCCGTTCCCTAGAGCAATTCTTATCACGAAACCCCCGGGGTCCCGTTCTTTCTTTGGGAGATCATGATGCATGGCACTCGCTGCCTCATAAACCACCACTTTCTCCCCATCTCCAACCTTCCTCTTCTTCGTGACCAAGTCCTTGAAGAACTTCACGTAAGATGGCATGTTTTTGATCACGTCCAGGAGAGGTAAGTTAACGTTGACTTTAGAGAGCATGTTGTATAAGTCCCGGAATTGCTGCTCTTGTTTCTCATCTCGAAGTCGGCTTGGAAAAGGGATGCGTGGCTTGTAAGGGTTTGGAGACTTGTGCAGTAGGGGATTCTCTGACGGTTTTACCGAGTCGGTTTCTGTGCTCTTTCTGCCCTCCTCAGTTTCCTTGGGCTGGTCGGTTGGTTTGGGGTCATCAGGCTCGGGCATTCTTACCTTGTTGTCCACTTCCTTCCCGTTCCTCAACACAGTGATCGCCTTTGCTTGCTCGGGCTGGCTCAGAAGTTTTCCCTTGTCTGACTCAGCCTCCATGTTGCCAACTCTCATGGCAAGCTGACCCACTTGCGTCTCGAGAAGCTTAATAGATGAGTCCTGGTTGGTGATAAACTGAAGGATCTTGTCTAGCTTGTCATCTTGGTTCGACGAGCTCGAACCGGACTCTTGGGCTTGCTGTTGTTGTTGGTAGTTGGGACGGGGAATGAAGTTGGGGCAGGGTTTTTGATGCATGAAGTTCGGACGGGGCTGGTGTTGGTTGAAGTTTGGACGAGGTGGCTGGAGGGTGTTGCTGTTGTTTGACCACGAGAAGTGTGGGTGATTTCTCCACCCGGGGTTGTAAGTATTGGAGTAGGGGTCGTTGGGCTGCTGGTTCTTATAACCTTGGAGGGCGTTGACATCTACATATTGTTCTCCAACCTCTTGGTCGAAAGCTGATGGGCAGACCTCGGATCTATGCCCCTGAACTCCACATGCCCCGCATGTGTCTACCGTCTTGGTCTGCACCGACTGACTTCCTCGTGCATTCATTAGCCGCATTTGCTCAGTAAGTTCGGCTATTTGATGAGCCATCATGTCTTGAGCAGAAGATACCTCGCTGACTACGGCCCTCTTCCCCCGATTGCTCTTTTGAGACGAGTTAGCACTCATCGTCTCAAAAATCTCATACATCTCTTCGGCCGTCTTCGCACCAATGTCTCCCCCGCAGCATTATCAACCATATATTGCAAATTCTGATTGAGGGAGTCGTAGAAACAATTCATCAACAGTCCTGGTGAAATATTATGGTGAGGGCACTGCCGCTGGAGATCCTTGAATCACTCCCAGGCCTCGTGAAGAGGCTCACTCGGTAGTTGGGCAAACGAGACAATCTGCGACCGGAGCTCCTGAGTCTTTTGATGGGAGTAGTACCTCCCAATGAACTTCGTGTAAACTTCGGTCCAGGTAGTTAGAGATGCCGGTGCAAGCGTCATGAACCAGGCCTTGGCCTGGTCTTTCAAGGTTTCGGGGAAGCACCTCATCTTCAATTGATCCTCGTTCAGCCCCGTTGAGAGGAAAGGTATTGAGGACGTTGTAGAACTCCCGGATGAAGTTAAGTGGGTCTTCACTCGGGAGCCATGGAATGCCGGAAGCTGGTTGTAGTGAATCATCTTCAACTCATAATTCCGTGCGGGGTCTGGCAAACGGATGCACGAAGTGACTGTCCCGATAACTGGCTGGCCCAAGGTACGGAGGGTGTTACGAGGCGGTTGTCGTTGTAGTATAGTGGTGAGTATCCATGCCTGTCACGCAGGAGACCCGTGTTCGATCCCCGGCAACGGCGCCAATTTGTTGTAAGTATTTTTACCAAAGTAGAATCGAAAGATTCGACACGGGGTCGTATCACAAGGAAGGTCGGCCGAATAATAATTTTGCACGTATATTCAAGAGCACCGATAGGTCAAATTAGGGCCCTTGAATGGCCTGATGGAAGTTCGACCTGAAGGTACATATGGTCGATTAGACGAGTAGGGCATTTAAGTTGTACACCATGGATAATCTACCTCAAGATACTCAGGGTCGATCGTACCATTAGACCGTCTAACAAAAAGGACTAAGAGATTAGGAGGAATATTATGGGGATAGGATCCCCACGTGGGAAGGACCACGTGGCCTAACAGAATTGGACAGTTCGGGGAGCAAAGGTAGTACGAAGGAGCAGTTTCGGCAGTCTTGGGCAACAAGGTATCATCTTCCTTATATATAAGGG